AAAAAAAGAAAGAAGGAAAAAAGAAACAACAACAGGGAGTCCACCTCAAGTCATGACCGATAAATGGAGGAAAAGGACAAAAGAAATATTTAATTTAGCAGCAAAAAAGAAAAGAAAAAAAAAAAAAGAAAAGAAAAAGCAGCTCTGGTAACCCGCGATGGACGAGAAACCGAAAAGATGCACGATGGACATTTCAAGATTTGTGAACACACAGCAAAGATCACGTGGATGCATTTTTATATGGTTTTAGTGCCTTGTGGTCTCTACTTCCCTTTATTTTATTTTATTTGTTGTTTCTCCCTAAACAAAATTCTTCTTTTAAAAGGGAAAAAAAGAAAAAAAAAAAAAGAAAAATCTTCTTTATTATTATCATCATCATCATCATAGTCACTGTTATTATTGTTATTATTATTATTTGTTTTTGTTGTTTTTTTAATCTTCGAACTTTCGGTTCTCTGGCTCCGTCATGAGAAATCACAAGGACCGCTGAGGTGGACAAAAAAAAAAAAAAGAAAAGAAAAGAAATATGTGTGGCCTGAAGTTTATTGATTTTTGGATTATTTGTAGTTTTATTATGACGATTATTTGAATGGCAATGCCATTATTTATTTATTTATTTGTTTTTATTTGTTTTTGTTTTTATGTGCATCTCCCCCCCTTTTTTTTTTTTTTCCTTCCTTCCCTCCCTATCTCTCTCTATCTTTGTCTTTCCTGTGTGTGTGTATGTTTGTTGTTGGGGGGTCTTCCCCACCCGGAGAAGATGGTGGTGGAGGTGGCAGGTGAAAAGAAGTTGATTGTTTCTTTGTTTCTTTGTGCTTTTTTTTTTTTTTTTTTTTTGGCCGTTTATTTACTTATTGGCATATATATGTATATATGTATATATGTATATGTACGTATTAAGTATTTTCTTTTCTCTCCCTTGCGGCGATGGTGTTTATGTTTATTGCGTGTGTGACTAGTGGAATTTGCGGGGACGATTTTTTACTGGTGGTTCATTATTTATTTATTTATTTATTTATTTGTTGTTTTTGTTGTTCTATTAAGCCGCCTGTTCCACGCTGATGTCTGTTATCCCTCTCGCTCACTTTCCCCTCCCCTCTTTTGTGCGTATTTTTACATGTATGTATGGGGAGGGAATTTTCTCTGAACCTGCAGAAATGAATGATCGTATGCACAGTGTGTGACGCGCGCATACATGTTCATTTATTTGCTTTTGTTGCTTGGTATATATGTGTATATGTATGTATTTATGTTTATTATTTATTTTATTTTATTTTATTTTATTTATTTATTATTATTTTTTTTTTTGGAGGGGGAGGGGGGAGGGGGGGAAGAGAGGGGAGAGGAGGGATGGTTGTTGTGAGGACGAGGGGAAACGTGCGTGGGAGGGACAAAGTTAATGCACCTCTGTATTCAAGACGGTGTCTGTGTAACGAGGCATACACAATTTGCGGGTTCTTCATGACCAATGATGTAACTCAATGAATGAATAAACCTACCTAACTACCTACCCGCCCACCCAACCACATACATACACATACATACACATGTTTATCCATGTATAAAAATGTCCCTCCCTCTTCAGTTGCAGTGGGTAAGCATAGAATCTTCTTCAGGTATCCTTTTTTTTCTTTCTTTGTTTGGCTTTTTATGCGTTATTATTATTTATTATTATTTTGTCTTTAGCGTTTTTTTTTTTATGGGGGGGCAGATGGCTGCCTTTCTAGCTGTTGTTGTTGTTGTTTTATTTTTGTGTGCGTGTGTGCTGCGCCTCATGGATTTGAAGGTTGAGATCTGCGTGTGCAGAACCGCTGTCTGCGTGCTGCCGTTATTGTTTGTTTTGTTTTCATCCCTCCTTCTTCTTTGCCGAAGAAGTAAAGTTAGCCTATTGACGCAATCGTACTGGAAGTGAGAAGAGGTCATCCAGTGTTTTATTGCTGAAAAGGAGGGATTTTGCCAGGAGAAACAAGGTAACTGTCAAACTCTTCTCAAGTGGAAAGAAGGGTTTGTCCAATAAAAGAGGACGAGCGCCAGAGAGCGGCAGTCGTAAAGATTCTTCAGTCTCGCCGCCTGCAGAAGCATCCCCATACAAAAAGAACAGCTTTGCCGCGATGCTTCACAACAGTGATGCAAGGAGAGGCTTTGCCGCGATGCGTCGCAACAGTGATCCAAGATTCAGAAAAGACCCCACTGGATGGCGCGCACCCTCTTCCTTGTTAAATGGAGGGCAGGAAAGTAGAAGGGGCTTACCAAACACCATGGGCGGTAATGGTGCGGTACCCATGGGCGGAATGGAAGGTGGCAAAGGCGCGGGTCCCTACGGAGATATGGGCGGTAATGGTGCGGTACCCATGGGCGGAATGGAGGGTGTCAGAGGTGCGGGTCCCTACGGAGGCATGGGCGGTAATGGTGCGGTACCCATGGGCGGAATGGAAGGTGGCAAAGGTGCGGGTCCCTACGGAGGCATGGGCGGCAATGGTGCGGTACCCATGGGCGGAATGGAAGGTGGCAAAGGCGCGGGTCCCTACGGAGGCATGGGTGGTAATGGTGCGGTACCCATGGGCGGAATGGAAGGTGGCAAAGGTGCGGGTCCCTACGGAGGCATGGGCGGTAATGATGCGGCACCCATGAGCGGAATGGAAGGTGGCAAAGGCGCGGGTCCCTACGGAGGCATGGGCGGTAATGATGCGGTACCCATGGGCGGAATGGAAGGTGGCAAAGGCGCGGGTCCCTACGGAGGCATGGGTGGTAATGATGCGGTACCCATGGGCGGAATGGAGGGTTTCAGAGGTGCGGGTCCCTACGGAGGCATGGGCGGTAATGGTGCGGTACCCATGGGCGGAATGGAGGGTTTCAGAGGTGCGGGTCCCTACGGAGGCATGGGTGGTAATGATGCGGTACCCATGGGCGGAATGGAGGGTTTCAGAGGTGCGGGTCCCCACGGAGGCATGGGCGGTAATGGTGCGGTACCCATGGGCGGAATGGAGGGTGCCAGAGGTGCGGGTCCCTACGGAGGCATGGGCGGTAATGGTGCGGTACCCATGGGCGGAATGGAGGGTTTCAGAGGTGCGGGTCCCTACGGAGGCATGGGTGGTAATGATGCGGTACCCATGGGCGGAATGGAGGGTTTCAGAGGTGCGGGTCCCTACGGAGGCATGGGCGGTAATGGTGCGGTACCCATGGGCGGAATGGAGGGTTTCAGAGGTGCGGGTCCCTACGGAGGCATGGGTGGTAATGATGCGGTACCCATGGGCGGAATGGAGGGTTTCAGAGGTGCGGGTCCCTACGGAGGCATGGGCGGTAATGGTGCGGTACCCATGGGCGGAATGGAGGGTTTCAGAGGTGCGGGTCCCTACGGAGGCATGGGCGGTAATGATGCGGTACCCATGGGCGGAATGAGGAGCAGTAATGTGCCTATGCACGGTCCAGGTGGCAAAGTAATTCGTAAAGTGGCTCCGCAAAGAGGAAGCAATTGTGGTATTGTGAATCGGTACCCTGAAATGATGTATGGTGGAGATGTAAGACTCCCAAGAAGGGGTTCCATGCGAGGCTCACAAAGAGACATGGGCAGTATGTACGGCCTAAAAAGAGGAGGTTCCATGCGCGGCTCACAAAGAAACATGGGCAGTATGTACGGCTTACAAAGAGGAGGTTCCATGCGCGGCTCACAAAGAGGAATGGGCAGTATGTACGGCATGGGAGGTATGGGCAGTATGTACGGCATGGGAGGTATGGGCAGTATGTACGGCATGGGAGGTATGGGCAGTATGTACGGCATGGGAGGTATGGGGAGTATGTACGGCATGGGAGGTATGGGCAGTATGTACGGTATGGGAGGTATGGGCAGTATGTACGGTATGGGAGGTATGGGCAGTATGGGAGGTATGGGAGGTATGGGCAGTATGTACGGTATGGGAGGTATGGGCAGTATGTACGGTATGGGAGGTATGGGCAGTATGTATGGCAAGGAAGAAATGGGCGGCATGCCCGGCAAGGGAGAAATGGGCAGTATGTACGGCATTGGCGGGTTTTGGGCTCCACCCGAGGATTACCAATTAAAGAAAAAGGAGAATACTGAGCTTCGAGACCAAAAACCATCACATAGCCTTAACGCAGCCCCCAAGCCAATTTTTACAAAAAATGGTACAGAGACTTTTCGAAACACTGGTGTAAAGAACGGAACAAAAGAGGATACCAACACTGAGAACAAAGGCGAGTTGAAGGCCGCCTTGAAGCCGAAGGAACCTGAGGTTTCTAAGGGGGAGGCCAAGCCCACCAAGACCGCCGCACCAACGGAGCTCAACGACAATATTCACGCGTTGCTGGTTCTGAGCGATGCTGCTGCCTCAGCAGTTGCGGGCAAGGAGGCTGAGAAGAGGGTGCCAATGAAGGACGCAGACGGCAATACTGCGGAGTACGAGGCGGACGAAGTTGTGCGAGCCAACAATTTGAAAGTGGGGAGCTCTGTGCTGCTACAGGAGCTCCTGCGCCAGGTGGAGGCGAGCCATCACTGTACCGTGATCCTGGCAAACGGTAAGCTGCAGGAATCGGTCAGCCTGAACGTCGCGCAGACCTTATTGAAGTCCGTCATGGCCACACTCAAGAGGAACGAGGAGGAGAAGGGAACCAAGTACGAGGTCTACATGACCGCCGCCGCGATTTCAGCTGTCGATAGTATGAAGGACCTTTTCACTTCCTCGACCAAAGAGGCCAAGTCATTGCAGCTCGGATTTAACCCAATGTACGGCGCATGCATCGTGGACCTCCAGGATAGGACGGTGAAGAATGAAATTGAGGCCGAGAAGTTTCTGCAAGACGCGCTAAAGGCGTCGACTGATGCCAAAGAGATTGTTTTTATGCATTTGGTGGTGAAACAGATCAAGAATCGGGGTAGCATGCCCCCCGATGTGTTTCTCTCGGCGTTGCAGGTTGCGTTCCTCCGGGGGCGAGCCGACTGCCTTGCGGCCCTCCACGAAAAGGATGAGAAAGTTGTGCCCGTTCCCCTCTTCAGGGACGCAGTGGGAGGCAACAGCTACTCGCTGGTTGTTGCTGCCGTGTCCGGGGGTGATGCCACGGGGGAGACGAGTATTCTCAAGAACGTTGAGAAACTGCGGAAGGTGAAGAATTCCCCCCCGCGCAGCGGCAATCTCGCCCGCTTCTTGGAGTTTACGCAAGAGGAGGAGAGAAGGTGCAGGTCTATGGCGGAGTCATCAAAAGATGCTACGGAAAAGGCACGGTATGGACGGCTAATGCGAAAGATGGCGATAGTACTGGATGACGCAAAGGAAATGATGGCCAGGCCGGAAGCTGTGAAGCCAAAGGTCTACACTTCCTCTCGAGTTTCGCGGGAAAACGCCATTGATGGGGAGAAGCAGAAGCCAGAAGACACGAAGCCGGAAGGGAAGAAGCCGGAAGGGAAGAAGCCGGAAGACGCGAAGCCGGAAGAGACGAAGCCGGAAGACGCGAAGCCGGAAGAGACGAAGTTGGAAGTCGTTAAGCCAGAAGAAAAGAAGCCGGAAGGGAAGAAGCCAGAAGACGCGAAGCCGGAAGGGAAGAAGCCGGAAGACGCGGAGCCGGAAGAGACGAAGTTGGAAGTCGTAAAGCCAGAAGAAAAGAAGCCGCAAGTGACGAAGCCGGAAGCGACGAAGCCGGAAGCGACGAAGCCGGAAGCGACGAAGCCTGAAGAAACGCCGAAAGAGACAAAGCCGGAAGAGACGAAGCCGGAAGACGCAAAGCCGGAAGTTAACAATTCCCTTCTTCCTTTGCGGGAAAGCGTCACTGATGAGGCGAAGCCGAAGCCGGAAAGCGCGAGCACGGCTGCAACCTCCAAATTGAAGGCCTTGGAGAGCAGTGATCCTGCTGGTGGCGAGGCTGAACCGTGGCAGAACTCCGTGAGGATTGCAGTAACAGTAGGAAAGCAGCCCGTAAGCAATACCATCGAGTTGTCTGTGAAGGGGGAATTAAAAAAGTGCACCGTTGATGAGCACATTAATTGTTTTGAGGGGATGCCAATTGAATCGAAGGTGGCCAAAAGAATGCAAAAAATTTTGGGGGATGGTAATAACATAGCGCTTTTGGCTGCGGAGGTGATCCCTGGGTTGGCGGTAGAGAAACAAATTACATGGAGCATTGTGCAGAGCATCCTCGAGGGTGTTTTGAAGGAGACAAAGAATGGTCTCGCCAATGAGTTTACGCTTTACATGAGCGTTGTGAAGGGAAAACAGGTTGTGTCCGACCTGTTTGGCAAGGCTGAGGCGAGGCCGCTTGTTGTTGCGAGCTCTTCGCTATATGGTGTGGTTCTGCACGAAATGACACCAAAGGTGGTGAAGACTGCGGCCGATGTGGAACCCGTTCTCCGTTCCGCGCTTACGAGGGCTGCGGAACTGGTGAAGGACGATGAATACATTGTGTGCACAGCGGTATTGAAGCAAATTTTTGAGGGAGATGTAAAGGTTGCATCTCTGTTTGCGATCAGTGCGCTGGACATGCGGCCCTATGTCGGAGTTATGGAAAAGAATCCAGAGTACGTGCGCCAACTTTTTGGCCATGCTTTCATTGGGTCCTGCTCTTCAGCGGTGCTTGTCAGCTATGCAACCCTTGATGAGAAAGCCACGGAGGCCCTAAATGCCCAGTCCAAGGTCATGCTGACAAACAGTAAGCCGCGTGGTGGCAGTGTCAAGGTTTTTGTTAAGAACATGACGGAGGCGATTGCGTCCGCCGAGGCGAAGTTACAGAAGGCCACTACTCCGAAGGAAAAGGAGCGCTGTGAAGCGTCCTTGAAGCAGTTGCAGCAGCGTCTCGCAGATGCGAAGGAGCTGCTACAGAAGCCGGAGGAAATGCAGCCCGCCGCCTATGCGGCTCCACAACAGGACGGCAGCGCCGTTGATTCCGCAATCCGCGTGGTGGCCGTTATTACTGAGAGACGCAGCGGTAGTCTTTCCCGCAGCGTGAAGGGCGATGAGGAAGGGTTCATTGTGGACACCAATGATGGGGAGAAAAGGTTCCCAATCAACGAGTTGGTCCAGCGCCCCAGTTCCGCGGCAGTTCTCCGCTCTACGACGGTTGACTCACTCGTTGATCACTTCATCGGTGGCCACAACACTGCTCTCTTAACGGCAGATGACGAGGGATCCACATCGGGTGTGGACATGCTAATGCGCTCCGCCCGAAGCGTTTTTTTGAAGATGGAAGATGAGGGAGAGTTATTTGTTGTTCTTTCTGCGATGAAGCCCGACGGCAGCGCTGCGAAGGATTTACAGACCGATGGGGCGGACTACGAACCGATTTCTTACGCCTCCTCGCCCCTCTTTGGCCCGTGTATTTCAGGTGCCAAGATGGAACTTGGAAATAGCGCTGCTGAACTTCTGGCAAATCTGAAGAAAGGTGTCAGCGTCTGCGAAGCCGACAAGGCTGTGCTTGTCAGCCTATTTGTTTACAAGGCGCGAAAATCGGATGATGTAATTCTTTCTTCTTTTCTTACTGTCCTGGCGGGGCACAACGCGAAGCTGTACAGCAAGGCGCTGGAGGTACGTCCGAAGGAGCGCGGGTTACTCCACTATGCGCTCGGCGGTCCATGTATCACGGTTGTCTCCCTTGGCCTGGTGGCTAACACGGCTGCCGCAGACGCGGCCACGGATTTTGGCGGGCTGGCGAAGAGTGTACATGGAACCTCAAACCCCACTGTGCGTGATGGCGGACTGCGGCGCTTTGTGATGTTTTCAACGAGGGCCCAGGCACAGATGCAAATGCGTCTGAAGAATGCGACAGGGGCTGATAAGGAGCGGCTTGCCAACAGTAACGCAAACCTGGAATTGGTGCTTAAGGACGCGGAGGAGATGCTGCGTGATCCAAAAGGTCGGTTACCCAAAGTCTACAAGCAAACACACTGAAGAAGCAGCAAATGAAAAGCTTTAGGCGCCATAAGAGGTATATTGATTGTCCAATCTGCCTCGAGATCTCTTATTATTATTATTATTATTCATTTGTGTGAATGTATAAAATATTTATAATGAACAAAAACTACAGCCGAAGTATATATATTATATCTATATATATATAAATATACATGTTTATATTGTGGTTCAGTATTGTTGGGGTGCGTTTGTTCAGTGGCCATTTCTTTATGTGCTTAGATGAGTTGGTTAAATTGACCTTTTTTATATATATGCTGGGTGCCATTGAGAAATCCGCGCAAAATGTGCACAATGTGTATTTTTCTTACCCGGCGCGTAACAACGCATGTAGTGGAGGACGTCAGAAGCCAGAATTTTTGCGTACAGAGCAAAAATGAAGAATTAGTGTTAGATTTTTTTATTTAATGCATGATTTTTATTTATTTATTTATTTTTATGCAATTTATATGTATGTTTCTCGCAGAAATGAGCGGTAATAAAAAAAAAAAAAAAAACAGACACCGATTACCGAAGAGGAAAGGCCATTGCCGATGCGTATATGTGTCACGGTGCACGAACCTTTGCAACGTGGCTGAAAGGAGGGAAGAATGGGCATTGTTCCTTTACGTTTTCTTTTTAATATTTATTATTTTTAGTGAGGGGAGAAAAAAGTGAGAAAAAAGAAAAAAATGAAGGGCGCGTGTTTATATTTATAAATTTGTTGGTCCATATATATATGTATGTATGCATATACATATTGTTTTTGTTATTTTTTGTTTGTTTTGTGCAAAACTCCATTCTTTTGGCTACGGGTATGCAAGGCAGGGGATCCTCACGCAAATAGAGCCTCCTGCGGGAGAGGTGTCTAGCCGTACAGACGTCATATCGCTGGTGCCACTGGGTGAACTCGATCAGAGTGGATATATATATATATATATATATGCATGTATATCCCATTTCCCCGTTTTATGTGGGTTGGTGACGACATCTCGCCATTGCAGATGTTGTCCCAAAAGTGTTGAGGAATAGTGCGACATTCTTTTTTTTTTTTTTTTGTCAATCATTTATTTTTTTTCTTAATTATTTTTTTTTCTCTATCTTTTCCTATGTTTATATTTGTTGGGAAGCATTTATTTATTTATTTATTTATTTATTTTATTTTATTTTATTTTTTTTAAGTGTATGCAGGCAATTGTCCTGACGCCTTTGGCGGTGTTCTCGGCTTGACTTCTTCTACCTCTTCTAGCATGTGTATAGGGATTGGTCATCGTATTATTATCATTATTGTTATTACTATTACTATCATTGTTATTTTCTTTTTATTTATTTATTTATTTTTTTTACCCAGAAATTATTTTGACATTATTATTATTTCTTTCTTTCTTTCTTTCTTTCTTCTGGGGTATGTGTACATCCTTTTTTATTTCAATAACTACTGGCTTTCACACGCCTTTTTCTTCACGTACACACACAGACACACACACACACACACACACACACTTGCTTGCTTTCGGTGTTATATGCGTTTTTTGTTGTTTTTTGTTTTCTTTTTGTGTTGGCTCAAAAAAAAAAAAAAAAAAAAAAAGGAAGAGGACGGGCGCGCAGGGCGGAACGTGTGGCCAAAGACTGACTCCATCACTGTGGGGAGAGGGGCATAAGGACAACGCTACGGCTCTGTTTTGTAGAGGAGCGGCAATTCATCCACGGATGTCTGCAAGGGGAAAAGAAGGCTCCCCATTTTCGGATCCTAACCGCATGCAAAGGGAGGAAAAAAGCTCCGGCACCTCGACAAACGGCTTCTTCTCGCCCATTCTGGCACGCAATAGTAACTACAATGCTGGGGGCGGTGAGACAGGTCACATGGGCCCTTTAGAGAATGGAGATCTTTATGAGAATGGGTATGAGAGCATCTATGAAAACAGCGTGGGAAATTATTTTGCCTTTGGACCTATGGACAACATGCAAGAGATGGATTTGGAATATGGATCGCAGTTGGAAATGGTTGACGGTTCCCCAACGGGCCTTGTGTACGGTTTGAGGGGTTCGTACGGCCCCTTTTATGGTATGGGGGGCTCTTATGGCTCCACGCATCGGCCACACACGGAGCTTGGTGTGGTGGTTAATTTGCAAGTTCCTTACTCCTTCACTTTTCCGTCGAATCTTGGTTGTGGGAGTTCAACCATCCGGTTAATGAGCGATACAAATGATGAACTCGGTTCCTTTTCCGCCCCAGCAAGCCCCCCGAATACCCCGACGCAAATAAGTCCAGAATCACGGTCAATTTGGGAGAATCTCTCCCCTGAGTCTGTTAAGATCTTTTTTCCAGGAAGATGTGCTGAGAATGAGCCTGCTTTTAGCACAGGGGGTGGTGAGACGAAGATGGAGGTGACGTTGTCTGACTTGGATGAATTGGAATCGATTGTATGGGCCTCCCAATCCCCGGCAAAAGAGAAAGACACCCGCATAAAGACGCTTGTGCTTGTCGAGAAGGACGAGGAACTGACGACCGCAAGCGCCGCATTGAAGGTTGATGGCGATACCGTCACGTTGAAGCAGATGAAGTACACTCCAGACGAGGTCATAATTACGGACGGAGAAAGTAAGAGAGAGATTCAGTCAAATCTCGTCTCCAATATGGTCGACGGTTTTTTGCTTGGTCACAATGCAGCACTTCTGGTCTCGTGGGACGCAAGGGCGCCAACGGCACCGGACAGACTGGTGCTGTCGACGCTGAAGCTTATTGTAGCACGGCTCGAGGCGCGAGAGAAGAGTGCGGATAGGCAGGTTTCCATGTCGTTGACCCTGGATTCTTTGCACGGGAATAACGTACGAGATTTACTCTCTTCGAACACCCCGACAACTGCCGGGGCGGCAATTTTGTTTGGACGCTCCCCCATTTTGGGTTCGATGGTTCTCGACACCACTGCCGTGGATATCAAGACGGCCGAAGACTGCGAAAGGCACATGAAAACCGCCAACGACAAGAGGACCGACGTGGATCGGCTTATTCTTGGGACATTGCTGTTGAGGCAATGGGACAAGAAGGAGAAGGATGTACTTCTTTCTTCGCTAACGATTGCCATTTCAGAAGACGGGACAATACCTTTTGTGGACGTGGTGCGGAGGTGTGCGGCCAAAACTGCCGAGCCTCTTTGTTGCGCCATTAACGGACCCTGCATTTCAGTCCACGCTCTCTGCATATATGAAACGAACATCATTTGTGAGGAAATGCTGCGGCACGCAGAGGAGATTGGAAAGATGGCGAATAAATCCCCACACAGCGGCAGCGTACTTCATTTTATTGAGGCAGTTGAGGCGCATCAGGTTGAATTGAATAAAAAGGCACAAGAATCCAACACAAATAGCCATGGATTTGCTTGCTTCCTTGAAAACGTCATTAAGGACTTGAAACAGCTGCTGGAGGAGCCGGAAAATGCCAATACGCTGGTGTTCAGAGTCATGTCAGAATAGTCTTTAAAGAGTTACTATTTGGCGAACCGCGGGCGGCCGGAAGCGCAGAAACATGGCGCGTGACTGCGGGCAAATTTGGGAGTTGACAAAATCATAAATTGTCTTTTTCAAGGCAACTGTTTCGCAGCAATAAGTGATACTGTTGCTTTACTCCTTGCCTTTGCATGCGGCTAGTTAGGTACGCCTGTTGGACTTCAACACGACCAATGTATCAATTTGCTCGGTCTTTCAGCGAGCTGAGCCGCATCGGGAGGGAGATGAACAAAAGGAACGCGAGTGTTGTGGCGACCGTGCATCAGCGCAGCAGGGAAGCCGATGGGGGTGTTGTCTTGGCAACCATGAATTTGATTTCCGCTGGGTTTGGCCTGCTGCCTTACCGCGGGGTTGTGGATGGTGAGAAGACGGAGATATTGACGCCCTCAGCGGATCTTGGACACAGCGGAGAGGTTTTGCTTCAGAGCAGGATGAGGGTGCCTCAAGCAGCTTCCACGGGTGTCACATGTACCACCAGGGAGTTCAGCCAGAAAGAAGGAGAGAACAACAACAACAACAACAACAAAAAAGGCAATGAAGGGGCGCACCAACTTTCCGAGGGACTTTGGGAACGAAGTGCCCTCTGCTCATCTTGACGCGCGACATTGAGCTCAAACGCCCCATGGCGGGAAGATTCATACCAGATATGAAAACAAATACGAAAAGGCGGTTCGAGTGTCTTGTTGTGACGGCCGGGGAGGATGGGACAGCAGTGAATGCGGTCAAGCCAGATGGCAAAGGCATCTGCATTCTTGTGAACGGTTTTGCCACATTGGTAAACTCTTGCCTCATGCGTTCGGTTGCAGCTGCTGGACAGTGTGGTCGACAAGTTCAGCAGTGAGATGCTGCTGGCGGTGCGGGGAGCCAAACCCTTCTTTGTACCGCTCACTCCAGACGGCCAGCTGTTCATTCTTCCTCTTGATCTGAGGGGCGGGAAGGGGGCGTGTGAACTTCCGGTACAGACGAGCCGGTTTCAAAAGTGCACTCCTGTGTCCTTGACGCCCATCGGTTCGTCAGCGAGCGGCGCCAGACTCAACTTATTGGTTGGCGTCGCGAACCTCAAAAAACAAAACATGAACCAACAACAACCAACACCGTAATCGTAAAGGACGACACATTTGCGTCGTTTCTGTTACCGAAACAAGTGAATGAAAAGAGGGATGCTATCTTCAGCTCTTTTTGTGTCACAATGGCGGGAACGGGCCCGGCGATGTAAATGAAGGGGGTGACGGAGGTGCCAGGGTAGGCGTGTTGTGTTTCCTTGCGAATGGTGGGGTGGAAATAGTGGACCTGCTGCGAGGACTGGTGGGTAAAATATTGTCGGCATACCTCATGAGTGAGCCGGATTAGCTTTAGCGTGGCCAGCGTGAGGTGAAGCACGGGTGTAATGAAGATGTAAAGGAATAATCCGGAAAGAGAAAATCAATGTAAACATAGTCTTAGGTATAAAATAAAAACTGGTGTTTTTTCAAAGCGTTAGTTGGATTTAAATGCACTGGAGGTTGTTGCTTGGTCGTCCATCTTCTACGGCGCACTCACTTTCACACTTTTTTCTTGCAGCTGTTATCTACTTTTATATAATGAACTTTTTTTTTTTTAAACTGCATTATTTTTATTATTATATATATATATATATATATCATATTTCTCATTGTTTGTCGCGCTTATCGTTTTTTTTTCTTTTTTTTTTTTTGTGTGTGTTTGTCTCCGATAACTGGCCTCGTCCCATTGTGATTTATTTAAGGATCTGGGGGCTCCCTCTACAAGGGAAAAAGTGGGAGCTTCAAATATGTGTGTTTGTTTCTGATTTACCCCATCTCTTGGTTTTTCCATGTTTGCGGATAGCCTTTATGCATTCTTGCATATGCTTCTGCGAATGCGCTTGTCAATTGATTTTTCTCTGAGATTGGGAACTTCCTCAAATAGAATATATTTTTTTTTTGTTGCTTTTGTTCTTTTCTTGTCTCAAATAATTTCAGTGACCCGCACGCTTTACGGCAGCACTTGTCCCAGCAAGACGCGGCTGGTCGATGCCGTCAGCCCTGCGCCAACAATCCCGTGAGGGAATCATTGCTGGCTCCTGGCTTCCCCCGACAATACGGAGCAATTGACACTGGCGCCACACTGAGGCATCCGGCGGTATTGCCAGAGGAGCACTCTCCAGTTGGGCTCTTTGCTTTGTCCTGGAGGACCCCGGTTCATGTCTCACCCACTCCGCCCACACGAACGGGTGGTTTGGAGATGACTGAGTGTGGTTCCCCTGTCCGAGAGGCCTGGCAATTGACCGTGATACAATTGTTGCCAACTTCCGCATGTATTTTCCACCGTCGCGGTCTCCGGGTCAGGCGCTTTGCCCCCTGCAGGAATGCCGCTGGGATTGTGGGGTACTTCACTATGCATTGGCAGCACGGCAGCGACCACATCACGGTGCCGTACAGGCCTAAATCCGGAGCACTGCACTGCAGAATGGTTGACTTTTGTCCCTTTGAAGAATTGCACCGGCGTCCTTCGGCATACGACCTTGGCACCACGATGAGGTGGTCAACCGTAAAATTTCGGGGGAAAAATGAACATCCAGTCTAACGGCCGAACTGAAATCAGTGTACGTATTGTCTTGCAACTCGCTGAACTTGATCGCGTTGTTTGTGCCTCTCGACTCTTCTTATCTATTCGATTCGATGGGCCAAGGTGGGCACAAGGGTGGATGACATTTCCTTTATCGTGGCACTGTGTGTTTGCGTGTGCGTGTGTGTGTTCGTCTCTGTGGCTGCACCGTCTTGCCGTCGCGTAAGTGTTCTTATGGAAATATGCGTCTTTTTTTTTTTTTCTGTCTTGTTCTTGACACGCCACTGCCCGCATTTTAGCTTCTCCACCAATTTTCTTCTGGCAAGGCAAAAGAGAGGATTCTGTTTGAACCGGCATTATTTTTTAACTACACTGCAACACATCCACAGACGGCTGTAAAGGTCAGTTGCGTTTTTTCTTCTTTTTTTTTTGTGAGTTAGTGTGTGCTGGAGAAGTTTGAGGTAGCATAAACCAACAGGTGACGCCTTGCAGAAAATAGGGAAGAAGGCATTATAGCAATACAAAGTTAGTAATCTATCAAAGCATGTATCAGGTTTCCACGCCAGGGATTTGCCAGGAAGGAATTGGTTCGTGCTTGTCGCCCGGACCACAGTATGAATCTGGGTTTTCCCCCAGCGATATTTCGGTGCAACTGCCTGAAGAAATGTGTGTGGATGACGTGTGCCCGCCTGAACCAAAGATTTACAGCAAAGGGTCACTTTCCAGTCCGATTACAGAAGAAGATAAATCTATGCACATGCAATTTTGCGACATGCGCCAGGACTCGAATCGATCGGCGCCACCGACAGGGGGAAGATTATCTTGCGTGAGCGGCGCGTATTCCATGGGATCAAGCCAGAATAGCCCATTGCGTGGACCGAGTTCTCGTGATATTTCCCTTAATTCATTGTTTGCGGACCTCGAGGGGTGTGAGGTATTGAAGGAGCATTATGGTGAAGTGGCGGAACGCGATGATGGGCCTGAGTCTAACGGGGCGAAGGCCAGCGGCCCGCACAGGAACGTTGAAAACAGCTACATAGCTGCTTCTCGGGGCGGGGCAGAACGGGGGGCGAACAGATACGGCGGTTTGGCGAGCCATCTCGAGCCTGCGATTTGGTCCGGCGGCAGGTGGGGTAACATGGAGATCTACATGCAGTTACCAGATCCCAGTGTGATTCCAGGACCCGGTCCGGGACTCCCTTTTTCGGTTAATCGCCAGAGCGTGTTTGTGATGGGCCAATTTGATCTTCCTGTCTATGCCGACGGCGACGTGTTTATGGGAAGCCGTGCGGAGGATAAGAAAGAGAGTAACAGTGAGAGAATGAAAGAGCAGGGGTGTCAACCGTAGTGACGCACCCCCTTTCTCCTCATTGTGAGGACTTCTCTGGTGGAGCCGATAATAAGCACGCAAGAGTTTTTTTTTTTTGTTGTTGTTGTGTGTGTGTGTTTATGCGTGCTAAACGGACTCAGGAGGTTTACGTGAAAAGGAAATCAACTACAAGAAAGAGGATGCTCAAGTTTGGGACAGTTTACATGAATAAATAAGTACACAGACCCTTCCTTCAGTGTTTTGGGGTCATTTGAAAAAAAAAAAAAAAAAAAAATTTGTTGCTTTTTTTTTCATTTTATTGGTTTTTTTAAAATTCCCTTTCATATATATTCTCAGAATGACGCATGGCATGAGAAGTACAAAAGTAGAACGAGAGGAATTTAGGAAAGATTTGTCTCTTTTTTTTTTTTTTTTTTTTTTTCTCGCTTTCCTAATTTTCTTAATTTATTTTTAGGCTATTTTCCTTTCTGGCATGTATTTTTTTTTCTCTATTATATATATATATATATATTTAAATTCTTTTTTAAATTCTACAAATCTGACTTCCTTTTTATGTGTATGAATTTCTTAGGAAAGTCCTCCATTGTGTGCTACTTCTCATCCATTGTCCTCTGTTCTGGGATATATATTTATATATATATATATATATTATTTAAAAGCGTGTACAATTCCTTATATTTATATATAAAATTATTATTATTATTGTTATTTATTATTATTATTATTTGTTTTGGATGGTTATTTCATGCACTGTCTCCAAACTTATCTTTTTTACTTATTCCATCCATTTGAATTGCCCTCTTCCCCCCTGTAAATGCGCTCCTTCTGCTTTGGAGCTCGACTTATGTGTTTGTTTGTTTGTGTGTGTGTGTGTGTGTGTTTCCTTCTCGTTGAGTGCTTGAGTGGGGGGGGGGAGGGGCGCACTGATGTTCTCACTACTATACGCACGCGTATTATTTATTTTATTTTATTTTATTTTTCTTTGCTGAACCCCACTTTGACAGTTGAGGTAACTTTTTGTCTTTTTATTTTATTATTATTATTTTTATATCCCGTGAACGGAGGTGGGGGGATTTGTTTAAGGAAGAGCGATGCAACATTATGATCCACGTCAACTGGCGGGGCCGAAGGAACAAGTCTTTCGCCCTCAAAACTCCATCCTAAAAAAATCAGGAACCTGGGCCCAGAAAATGGACGGGACAGGTGCTGCGCAGGAATATGGGAGAATCGGCGTTTCCACAACGAACGGCAGTGAGGTGGGCAATATTAACGGCGCTCCAGCAATTCGTCAATTTGTCCCAGGCCAGTTGGCACCGTCGTCGCCATCGCCAGTTTATGGAAACCAAGGAAAGGGATTTCACGGCATTACAAACTACAGCACGGGCCAAAGAGAAGATCTTGCGCATGCGAACGAGGGAACAAGTGTACCTCAGTTGGGTGGGGGAAATATGGATGGCCCAAGCTTTACCTCGTGTGACCCATCTCTGCCTCAGGGGCTGTCTCAGCATCAAGAGTCTCTTCAAGGCCGTGGCTTACCTGGAAGTGTTTACGGCATGGAGGGTGGGAACCCAGGCAGCTTCTTTGGTTCCTCTAGGAACATTATGGGTCCGGGGATGGGTGGAGAAGTGTACGATGCAGGGTTTGGAAATATGGTTCCTGGGATGGGTGGAGAAGGGTACGATGCAGGGTTTGGAAATATGTACGAGAATCCAATTATCACTGCCCAATGGGCCAGCTTGAACAGCGTGGACCCAGATAGCATGTACGGTGGAGGGTGCGTGCAACGCTCGAGCTTGGGTTTCAACATCAATCAGCTTTGTCCAAATATTTCTACCACGGAGGGACACGTCAAACTGAATCGGAGTGGCAAGCGTGGTGGCAAGCGAACTGAAACTGAAGTCATGAATGAGAAGGGGGAGATGGTATCGACAGGCACGGCGGTTGCCCCTCTCTTATTACGCAAATCGAGCCTTTCAAAGAACGAGGAGTCAAGGGTGACAGCAAAATGCCCGGCAAACTACAATATTCATACACTCATTCTCGTTGACAAGGATAGTGACTTGTCGAAGAGGCTGTGCATCTCCGTGAAAGACCCCATTACTCTTCTTTTCAAGAGAGAGAATGGAGAGGATGAGAAGTTTGAAAATGATGAGTGCATTTTGCGTGATAACATATCAGACAACGTGAACTCTGTGCTTCTGGTTGACCTACAGGACCACTGGATTGCCGGGCACACTTCGGCCCTTCTGGTGGGAGGCGCAAAAGACCGTGGCGAGGAATCTGTGCAGTTTGCGAGGCGGTTTCTTACTCAATGCCTAGAGAAGGTGGAAAAGAATTCAAAGGAAAAGCTTATTGAATTTGATATTACTGTTACATTTGGTTTGGTAGAGTCCACCGACCGCATTCGGGATCTTCTTAATCCTGAAAATGCGACGTACGAGAAAATGCAACTTGGCTCAAGCCCTGTATTCGGTCCCTGTCTCTGCGGTATGAAAAGCAGGAATGTTAAATCCTTGAAGGAGTGTGTTGATGTATTTGACGAGGCTATTGGACGCAGTGATGAAAAGAAGCAGCTGGTGGTCGGTTTCTTTGTTCTTAAGCAGCTCAAAAAGAGCAGCGAGGAGAACGATGTTTACCTTTCATCGCTCTGCATGGGACTTGCAAGGGAGGAGATTTCGCATTTCAATGAGCTGAGGGAAATGGGTACATCCGACCTCTGCACGTTGTTCCGCTACGCCATTGGTGGTGCTAGTGTCACCGTGACCACGCTGCTCTTGTCGGAGCGAGACCCCAATTCCCGCGGCTGCCTGGAGTTGGGCCGTAAGATGCGAGAGATTAAAAATAACCCGCCTCGTATTGGCAACCTTAGGCGTTGCTTGGAAAAGACCAAGAAGGAGATTGGCCGACAGAGGGAAAATATGGATCAAATGAGTGACGCAGAGAAGAAATTAACGGAGCGCATCGTAGCACGCATGGAGACCATAGTGAAGGATTCGGAGGAGATGCTGTCAAACCCGGATAGCACCAATTTAAAATTTTACTCCATGGGCGGATAGATATGAGAATCGCAGGGAAAAGGATATGAAACTCGATAAGAAATGGAAAAGAAACCAACAATCTTGAATTAAGTTCTATGAGGAACATCATTGCAAAATGTGAATGGACAGTAGGGGTGAATATGATGTTTGTAATGATGTTGTTTGGCTTTTTTTTTTTGTTTTTTTTTTTGCCTTTTAGCTGTTTTTATGAATGTTCTTCTTGTTTTATTTACTGTCATTGATATGTATATATATATATATTTATTTATTTATATAGTTTTATTTATTTATATTGACTTTCATTTATTTATTTATTTATTTTTTTTCCCTTCCCCCCCTAAACTCCATAGATTCTTTAACCTCTCTCGATCCGCGTGAATTCTTCCCGTCAAGGGCTCCGCTCAAGTCAAATCCGCGTTCCTTTTTTTTTTTTTTTCTTCTTTTTTTCTTTTCTTCGCATACGTTTTATTGCCTTTTTTGTTTTGTTATTTTTTTTTCGTTTTTTTTTTTGTTGTTGTTGGGCTTCACGGAGCGTATGCCTCTACCCCAACACATGCATGCATGCATGCATGTGTATGTGTTTGTGTGGGTTTGGTTATGAAGGCCCATCGAGGCATAAATACGTCGGGGAGAAGTGATGGCGAGTTCCCTGTCATGACTTAAGGGGCGGAGAGTGTTAAATAAACGAGAGAAGAAAATTAAAAAAGAGGAGCGGGCATTGGGTGTGAGTACGTGCGCCTCTGCCTGCATTACGTGGAGCGGTGATATTTGGCAGGAGGTGAAGGAATTGGGGATATATATATATTGTGGGTGGTAATGAGAACCCTGTGTGTGTGTGTGTGTGTGTTTGTGCGTGAGGGCGATGCCACGGGACCAATTCGTTTGGCTCTTTTTGGCTGTATTTTTTTTTTTTTCTTGGTTTATATATATATATCTATATATTATTTTATGTTCTCCACATGCCAGAATAAATCGACATTTACATGCAGTTTATTTGAGAAGGTAATAAAGTCTTGTGTGCATAGTTTGAGGAGAGCAATTAACTGTCTTATTATTATTATTATTATTGTTGTCTTTGTTGTTGCGTGGTCATCATTGTGCATTTCATCCATCAAATGAGGAGAGCGGGGGAAGGGATTCTGTGTGTGTGTGTGTGTGTGTGTGTGTGTGTGTGTGTGTGTCAAGAAACGTAAGTATGGGTTTTAATGGCTTCCCCAAAGGGAATCTGAAGCACATATATATATATATATATATGTATATGTATATGCATGCGTCTAGTTGTTTATGCCTTGTATTTGCGATGTGTGTATAAATGAAGGGATGATCAAAGAAAGAGAGGGGGAGAGAGAGAGGGAGAAAAGAAAGAAAAAAAACAGTAGGTGGCACCACTGTTACTTTTTAAGAGGGAAAAAAGAATGAAATGTATGTACATGCGTGTCTGTATGTAGATGCGCACAGCATGCGGTTTGGCATTCGTCTTTTTTTCCTTTAGAAAAGAGAAATGAATTGTATTTTTGACTTCTTTTTTTTTTTTTTTTTGGGGTGAGGGAAGGTGGGGGTTATCATTTATTTTTCTTTTTCTTTTTCTCTCTTTCTGTGTTTGTCTGTCATATTCCGTGCCATTATTATTGTTTATTTTTGCTTGGTTTCAAAAGGTGGGTGGGTGGGTGGGTGGCTGCCATCGCTCGGGGTTTTCCGAATCCGGTTGTCACCGTCATTTTGTTTTATTTATGTTGCTTTTTTGGGTTGTCGGTTTTTTTTTTTTTTGCGTGTGTTTTTCTGCTTGTGATTTCCCACAGAAGAGAAGATAAGTTGCTGCCTCGGAGCAAAATTAGCGTCAGACCCTCTATGCATTCCTCCGCCGTGCCTCGATCCTCCGCGTGGCCCATGAATGGCCCGTATGGAGGCCGTGGCCCTATGCCGCCAGGCGGTGCCCCGGGGTACGGAATGTATAACCAAGCGGGACCCTTTCAGAGGGTTAATGGAGCAGTTCCTCCGCGCAATGCGTTAATGAAACGAGGCCCTCCCGGGGCCGGAATGCAGCCACCTTCACCATGGTCCGCTGAGGGGAGTCTGTACGGGAGGAGGGGTTCAAACACAGGGTCTCTGCGAAACAGTGTCAATGGCGGAAGTGCTTACAACGGAATGAGTGGGCCAACTGGAGGCAGTTTTTATAAAGAAATGGGTCCTCGTACTGGATCTATGCGTGGCAACGCTTACGAAATGCAAAATATGGGGTTAGGCGGCCCGATGGGAAGTGGGTATGGCAATTTTCCTCCCACACAAAGGACGAGCAGTGGCATGGGAGGTTCAATGTACGGTATGGGCGGTCCTATGGGCATGGGAGGTTCCATGTATGGAATGGGCGTTCCTATGGGCATGGGAGGTTCCATGTACGGTATGGGCGGTCCTATGGGCATGGGAGGTTCCATGTATGGAATGGGCGTTCCTATGGGCATGGGAGGTTCCATGTATGGAATGGGCGTTCCTATGGGCATGGGAGGTTCCATGTATGGAATGGGCGGCCCTATGGGCATGGGAGGTTCCATGTACGGTATGGGCGGTTCTATGGGCATGGGAGGTTCCATGTATGGTATGGGCGGTCCTATGGGCATGGGAGGCTCCAAGTATGGTAGTGTCGTGGATGCTGCATCTCGTCGCGATGGCTTTCTCGCACGCAATGAACTTATTCGGGCCAACATCGCTCCAGTAAAACACTCAAATAATAACGAAGAAAAAAATAATGAAAAAGCCCCGTCACCCGTTCCTAAGAAGTATGAGAAAGCAATATCACCCGTTCCCAAGAAGTATGAAAAAGTAATATCACCCGTTCCCAAGAAGGATGAAAAGGCCCCGACACCTGCTCTCAAGAAGGATGAAAAAGCCCCGACACCCGCTCTCAAGAAGGATGAAAAAGCCCCGACACCCGCTCTCAAGAAGGATGAAAAAGCCTCGACACCTGCTCTCAAGAAGGACGAAAAGGTCACCGTTACCAACTCCGGGAGTTCTAACACCACCAACTTGGCATCCAAGAATGATAAACCCGAAACGGCGGTAGTCAATAATGCTGCTAGTGAAGAAAAGGCAGCCCCTAAGTCTCTGGGTTCTAATTCTCTGCGCAGCACGGAGAATTCAGCCGATAAGAAGGAGGGGAGCGCAGAAAAGCCTGCGACGAAGGAGGATAAGAAGGAGGGGAGCGCAGAAAAGCCTGCGACGAAAGAGGATAAGAAGGAAGAAGAGAGCAAAAAGGAGACGCTGAGGCCCCCAACGGGCACCAACATCCGTGGTGTTGTGGTGATTGTGAAAGCGGCTGCAAGCGCTTCTTCTGCCGCTGTGACAATGAAAAATGCTACAACTGTGACAACTTCGGGCAAAGACGAATTCTCTTTTGACGAAGTTATAACCCACACAGATACATCAAAAACCATGGAATCTGTCATGCTTGAAGATCTCCGCTGCCACTGGTTGGCGGGTCACAACTCCAGCCTGCTCATTGGAACGACGAAAGGGGAAATGAAGGATGCTTTCAACTTAGGGACCCAATTTATTACAAATACATTGTCGGTGTTAGAGAAGGAGGGCTGTAAGTTTGATGTGAGTGTGACCATGGCGGCGGTGAAGGGCGGTAGTGAAGTCAAGGACCTTTTCAAATCATCAGGTGCCGCGTACGAAAATATTCAATTGGCCTCCTCTCCCGTTTTTGGTCCGGCGCTGAGGGGTATGACCAGCAAAAAGCTCACCAAGTCCAGCGAGTGTGTGAAGTTGCTTGAAGATGGATTGGGGAAGCATGATAAGGAAAAGGAGCTTCTTCTGGCATTCCTCGTCTTGAAGCAAATGAAGAAGAGCAGTACGGGCGATGATACGGTCTATCTTTCCACCTTGTGTCTTGTCGTTGCGGGGGAGGAGGTCTCACACCTCACGGGAATAAAGGAAAAGAAGGCCTCCGAGCCGTGGACATTGTTACGCTATGCCGTTGGTGGGGCCAGCAACACCGTCTGCCTGCTTGCCGTGTCTGCGGAGGGGAAAAAGACGTCAAACGTCAAGGCGGTTCTGGAGGTGGGGAAAACCATGCGAGAGGTGAGGAACGGCATCCCACGCAGCGGTAATCTTATGCATTTTGTGGAGTTTACAAAGAGAGAATTAACCAAGCAGAGGGCGGCTGCCGTGAAGGATGAATCCGTGAAGAGAGTCGTGGTTCGCTTGGAAAAAATGCTGAAGGACGCGGAGGAATTTTTGGCAAATCCGGATTCCGAGCCAAAGACATATTAAGAAGACCCTTCACAATCAAACACCACAAAATTATAAATTCCCCTGTGTGTACACATATATATATATATAAATGCACACTGCATTTACACTGAAAAGGAAATATAAATATCAAAGATAATAAACAAACAAACGACAACAACAACAAAAAGAAAAGAAAAGAAAAGAAAAGGAGGGGGAAAAGATTTTATGTGTTCTTTTTTATATATTTATATATTTATTTTTATTGCGTTGTGAGAATATTATCATCATTGTCAACATCGTATTATGATTGTTATTTATTTATTTTATTTATTTATTTTATTTATTGATTATTTTCTTTGCCGTCGTTGTTAAGCAGGAGGTAAATGTGGAGGTGTAATTATGCCAGTTTTTTTCTTTTCTTTTTTTCTTTTCTTTTCTTTTCTTTGTTGAGGTGGCGGGGAAAATAACAACTTGAAAAAAAAAAAAAAAAAAAAAAAAAAAGACTGCAAGAAACAAACAAACAAAAAAAAAAAAAAAGAAAAAAAATATTTTTTTTTATTATTTTTTATTTTTATTTTTAAGCGCCAATCGAAGTGTTTCTTCATTTCTGTTTTTAAGGGGATAATTCGGGGTGGCGGAGGGATGGAGGCGTCAATTTTTATATTTTTTTTTTTTATTTATTTCTTCTTCTGGTTGTTGTTTTTGTTGCTTTTGGTGGTTGATTTACGTGTCATTGTGTGTGCCCATTTTCTCCCACTTCCCTCCCTTCCCGCTAAAAAAAAAAAAAAAAAAAAAAAAAAAAAAAAACTTCTGTTTATTTATTTATTTGTTTATTTAGGCATCGCCTTTGTTTTTCCCCTTTTTTTTTTTTTATTTTTTATTTTTTATTTTTTATTTTTGTTTTTATTTCCCTTTCTTGCAGTTGTTCTTGGCGTGTGGTGATGCTGCACCATTGCCCTGTGTGTGTGTGTGTGTGTGTGTGTGTGCACACGTAATATATATAAGTACATGTAGGCGAAAAATTGATGCGGATTTGAATAAATTAAAATAAATAATAAAAAAAAGAAAAAAAAAAAGTGTTTTAGGGACTGTTGGCTGGGAAGTGAGAGAAGTAAAAAATAAAAGAGAAGGAAGAAAAAAAAAAAAAAAAAAAACGTTTTGAGTGTATTCATGTTTATTGTTATTTCTGTATGAGGAGGGAGAATGGAGGGGATTATTTTATTTTGTTTTACCCCTTCAATCCAGATGTGGTTGAAAAAAAGGGAAAGAGAAGTGATATATCTATATGTACATGTATCTCCCTCTCTGATTCCTTATAAAAGCATATACATGTATATATGTATATATGTATATATGTATATATTGTTTTTTATTGACTGAAGAAGGAGGATAATTTCTCTCTCGCGTCCATTTTTTTTTTTTTTTTTTTACCCCCTTCTCTATCTCTTTTTCCGCGCACAATCTTTTGTACAAATTTTGTGAATATTTATATTTATATTTATATTGATATGCAAAAAGCCTATGTTTCTATGTATTTATATGTATATATGTGTATAAGTGGTTTTCCCCCTTTTTATCTTTATTTCCTTCTTCTTTTTTTTTTTCCCTATTTGGGATGTGGGGGAAGGGGAAAGAAAAAAAAAATATTTGTCTGCGAATGTGTGTGGTTGGATGCATCTGAAGGAAATGGCGGCATGTGCGTATCTTTTTTTTTTCTCTCTCTGTTTTTTTTCCCAGCAGTGGGTGGGTAGGTGGAGGCGGAGAAAAGAGGAAATGACACGTCAGAGCCCCCACATGGTCTTTTTTTTCTTTTTTTTTGTTTGTTGGATATTTTGGTTTCACACATTTTCCGCAAGATGGCTGTCACGGTGCCGGGCGCAGGGCACATGTTTCCTCCCACCACCCCCACCACCGCCAACAAACTCCCTAACTGATTCTCTTCTTTCTGCTCTTGTGTGCAACAACAAAGGAATAGGGATGAATGGCGCTGTTCAGAAAGCATGAGACGCGTTCGCGGAGAAAGGGATGACAGACGTGCGTTTCTCTTTGACACGGATGAGGGCTGGAGGACCGTGAGAGGCTCCTGCTTGATTATTTTCCAGGCTGGGCGACAGAAGGGGGGGATAAATCCCCATGGGACCACCGTGCTGGGTTCTCTCTGCGTGTGTGTGTTTGTGCATCTGGCTCCCCCACACGCGTATTTGTGAAACTGGCATCGTGCATGATAATCCCGTGCAAAATTATTATTATTATTTTTTTCTTTTTCTACACATGTCTTTTTTTTTTAGTTAGTTGTAATGCGCGGGGAGGTTGACGGAGACTGCGGCGCACACGGTGAGTCAGACCAGGCATTGAACGATGGTCAGGGACGTGCAAATGAATCGCAGATGGTCCTGACTATGCGGTTGGAGGACTTTTGTTTTAATTTTTTAGACAAGCAGGAAGAACTGTTTGATGAGGCTCGAGAGGAGCAGTGTGCATCAAAGTCAAGGATTCTCTACAACTCCAGCCTGAGTTCGACCCCAGTTTTGATGGTACAGACAACACCTGACTCCAAGAAGGGGTCAATAAGGAGGGAGGAAATACGGTCTTTGTGTTTGTCAAGGGAGGGAACAGGAGTTTCAAGCGAGCTGTGGGTGTCTATTTCTTCTGCGAGCCCACCGAATTGGAGTAGCCTTTCGCTTTTTGATCCGGATTCCGGGAATAGCGAAGAGCCGGAGCCAGATGAATACATCATGTTAGGGGAGGGCGGGTTTTTGGACAAAATATGTGGTGGGAATCTTGAGCCGGTTGCGTCTGACGGTCCCATGCGAAAAAGTACGGGGGACCACTCGGCATGGGCTCATCAGAAGAAGGAACCCAGTGTTGTCGCGGCAAAGTCATCTGCCTCGTCTTTTCGGAGCCAGGTTGGGGAGGAGATGGCAGGGAATAAGACGGCAGTTTTGGGGGAAGGAAAAAGAAATGCGCGGGGAAACAGCCTTGGAAGTTTGGACATTGTTAACCGCAGTCTTCCAGAGATGCCTAGGAGTCTGCTGGAGCAATGCAACATTGCCGCTGCTCCATTGGAACCAGATTGTAGCGACTCGGAATTTGGACTGCCGCCTTATTACTTTACGTCACTCATGGATTTTATGTCAGCCGAGCCAACTTCAGATGAGGAATTACCACCAATCCTTCAGGCTCATGAGGGGAAAAAACTTTCAAAAACGGACTTTTTAAAGGAAAGGTTGTCTCGTTACCGCATTGAGGGGAAGCGTCAAAATGTCAATTTCCAGCGCGTCAAGGCTGTAGCCTTCATTAGTTCTTTAGAAGGAGGGGATGAATCATGTTCAGATGTACCGCCGTCAATTATTTCTCAGACTGGAACGGGTGCCGTTTCCGTCATTGAACATGAAGAGCTTCGAAATGGTCGTATATTGCAGCTGAAGTCTAGTTATGACATGGATGAGGTGATTTGTTCCACCGAAGTGGGGCGATCGCAGACACTGACATCTCTTTTAAACTGTGTTCATTGTGGTCAGCGATCGTTTCTTTTGTCTACTTATGCCCCTGGTTCTCTTCCGACTTCTGTCAGACTTACCCGCGACTTTCTCAAAAAGTTGATACAGCGCTACCGAGAAGGTGAGGTGGTTGATCGAACAAAATGCACGATTTGGATTTCTTTGGCGGCAATAACGACCCCCCGCTCTGCAGTCGACATGCTCTACCCTGAAGACGAGGAGGGTAATGTCGTGCCCATTAGAAATGGGTTTATAGCCCTTTGTGGACCCCTTCTCATGGGTCTGACATGGCGGGAGGTGTCGTCGAAGGAGTGCTTGGCGGACATTGCGAGTAGGATGCGTCGTCGTCTACGCCGCCACCCGGAAAATATGGTTGTGGGAACCATTCTGGTACGTGAGCGTGCACTTCATATGGATTCCGAGATCAATATCCCAAAGTTGGTTCTTGCAAACTTTACCTTTGCATTAACGAGGGATCCAAGGTTTTTCTGTTCCATTGGTCAAGCAAGGGCATCGCCGTTGCGTGTATTTTTTTCAGACGCATTGGGTGGCGCCGCCTTGACGACGCATGTGACGTGTGTGGGACAGAGTACTAGCAACGGCTTGACTAGCGATTACTTTGACTACGCCCTGATGCTCCAGCGGATAATGAACAGCAGACCATTTGTGTGTGACCTTGGGCTTTGTTACCTGAAGGCTGAGAAATTGCTGCAACGGATCGAGGATTCGGGGAAGTCGAATACTTCTATCAGCAATGATGACATTGAGACGCTTGAGGAAGTTGTGAGCGATACAGAGTGGCTGCTGCACAACGCAGATTTGGCGCCGACGAAATGCATTCGGGAGAGGACAGAGCACCCTTCTACGTCAATTATCTTTTCTTCGGAGGCCGATTTCCTTGAAAAGGATGGCGTCAAGCAACGGAGGCGGAGGGGGACTTTGAACGGGGTTGGGAAGAAGACCACTCGCCCCAGTCCATTTTCATCCCCATATGAGGCGAGTGACGAGAACACCCTCCTACCATCTCTTTGAGAGGGCCGCAGCAATAAGTATGAGAGGGGGGGAGGGGCGATTCAGGATCTTAATGTGGAGGTGACCCAACATCATTGAGACGCCAGGGGAAGTTTTGAGAAACCTGCTTGAGGAATGTGACCTGTGACGCCTTGGCTTAGTTTCTATGGGTGGAAAAGTCATTTGTTTCTGGAAATTTATTTTTCCTTTAGCAGACATACAAACACAATTTATTTATTTATTTTTCTTTTCCTCTCTCACACACCGGCAAAAGCAAGGGGAGAGAAAGAAACGGAGGGAGGGAGGGAGGGAGGGAGGGGGAAAAAAAAAAGGAAAGGGAAAGAGATAGGTGGAGTGACTCTTAGCTAATTTTAGCAATGCACTTTTGGAGACTGGATAGGTCTTTTTTGAGGGAGAACGAGGGAATTTTTATATGTGCATATGTATGTGTGTAGTGTGTTTCTCTGGGGATTTTTCCCCCCACCCTCTCATTCTCTTTCTCACATGTGTTTACGTATGTGTGTGCGCCTTATTTTATTTCCTCATTGGTATGACGATGGAGCGAGTAATATACATATGTATGGTTGAGTTATATATATATATATTCTTGGTGATGCATGGTTTTACTGTTAAGTAGTTTAAAAAAAAAGATATTTTTATAGGCCTTGTCCTTTACTACGAAACCCCAGTAGGCTTACCGTGTTATTATTATCATTGAATACTTCACTTCAACTTCCCCGAAATAAATTGGGAGAAGGGTATTAACGTTTTTGTTTTAAGAATAGACTCTCTTTTTCTTTCTCTTTTTTTTTTTTTTTTTTCTCTTTTACCGCCATGGGGACACGCATCTTCACTTTCAGTTTCTTTTCTTTCTTTGTTATTTTTTTGTATCATTTGTATTATTTGTAAGGTGCATTTCTTGTGTCTGTGCTAAATATGTGTTTCTGTCTTCTGGCCAATGAGGAGACCCCGCGTAAAGAAAACGATGAAAAAAAAAAAAAAAAAAAACGCGAAGAAGAGAGAATCAAATTTTATTTTATTATTATTTTTATTTATTCCTTTTTTTTTTTTTTTTTTTCATAAAGTTCTCGTTAAGTTTTTTTTTTTTTTTTTTTTTTTTTTCCCCTGGAACCGGGGGACGTGTAGGCCGGCACCTTGTTTTGCAT